AGTATATGCAAAATTTGGTAAGTATTGGCTGCATGTTTAAAAAATTATTAACATTGTCTACGACTTTTTGGGACAACCCTCGTACATAATAACTGCCTTGAAATACGAGATATTTGAGCTCGGGTAAAAAACGTAAGAAGACTCGGCAAGCCTTGCCCTCTATCACGTTTCTTACCCTCGCCCAAATATCGCCTATATTTCAAGACATAACCAAGAATTTAATACATGTAAATATATATGTGGTTTTTGGGACCAGGTCTTTCAAACATCTATAATCCATATGGGTACCAATTGCAATTGGAATTGCAATTTTTGCAAAATCTTATACGTGAAAAGAAGAAAACACTTGCTGAGGCCTTCAACTCGACATTTAGATATATCGACGACTTACTGTCAATTAATAATAGTAATTTCCATTCCTATGTAGATACGATATATCCTGTTGAGCTTGAGATTAAAGATTCCAAAGAGTCTGACACATCTGTTTCATATTTGGATATTTTACTTGATAAAGACAATAATGGTATGATAATGATAAACCTGATTACTTTAACTTTGTCTTACTTATGCAGCAATATTCTTTCATCACCTGTATACGGAGTTTATATATCTCAATTGATTCGATACGGAAGAGCATGCTCTACGTATTAACAATTTCTTAAACAAGGTACATTATTGACATACAGGTTGATAAAACAAGAATATCAGCAGTCTTGTTTAACGTCATCCTTTTGTAAGTTCTAAGGTCGATATAATGACTTTGTCAGCATATACAATTTATCATTAAGTCAAATGCTGACTAGCGTTTTTTCATACTAGCCATTAGTCCAATATTTATACACTGAATTGAAGACGGATTTTTTCGTTATTACCCGAACATGACAAGGGGTACACGGTGGGTGTGACCAGTCAGCAGGGGATGTTCACTCTTCCATGGCACCTGATCCCACGCCTGGTGTACTGGTGGCCCGTTTTTCCTCTGCTCCTAGTTTGTATTGTTTTATGGACTTTGATACTGAAAACTGATCGTTATCTCCATATCCTTCATGCATTTCCTTTGTTCAAGCTGGAAAATCTCAAAGGTGACGGAGATTTGAAGCATCTTCGCTAACCAATGGTTTCTGATACGCTTTTTTCCTCATGAACCCTTGGCATACGGTGAAGTCAAAAGACGGGATTGTTTTCGTCAGGTAATCTTCAATCTATCAGGTACACATAGATTGCGTCATCGACAGAAATAAAGACACCATAGCTATTCAGAGAATTGCATGTTACATGTATTTTACGGATCGTTGTTTACTTGCGTTTTTCATTCCCGAGATTAAAGAGTCAAGAAGTATCCCGAACGCAAATATCGTCATTTACAAAAACAACAATTGCTGAGTGGTCGACCTGGTGTACCGAATCCAAATCAGATCTCAAGAAAAAAAAACAACTCCTATTAACACCGTATGCCAACTGATTATGAGGAGAGTAGCGTATCAGAAACCCTTGGCTAGCGAAGATGGAGTTGAAGATGCAAATATGCACTACATTACACCTCAACAGATACTTACATATCATTAGCATGAATGGCAGTCCTTGAACTGAAAGTCTAAGGGTCACTAAACTGCGCTGGGTAAGAGAAAATTCGACCAATTCATCTGAAAATCAGGATTTTAATAATGGCAAAGAATATTCCTTTCGCTCAGATCTCGATATTAGTTACCTTTTGCACTACAACTGCAGCTTTGTGTAAAAAAAAATGAATGGTATTGACCAGAAGAAATTTGGTAGAAGTATTTGTGTTTATCACAAATGAAGCTACAAATTTGAAAAAAATGCTTTGAAGTGTATCTAAAACTAGAGGTACTGTGAGCAATGAGCTCACAAAATGATACCCCCGCCTCCCATATGTGTATCAATGGCAAGTTTCATTAAATTTCATTCCGTGACATGAGAGGAGTTGCGGATAAGAGATGGGTACCCAAAAGCGTAAGAGACGGAGGGACGGGCAGACGTTTGGATAGACGGACATCCCGATTACAGTATACCCTCCCGCTTTTCAAGCGGTATGTATAATAACCATGAAATAAACTTGGCTAAAAGTGATATATTAATATTGTTAATATAAATACAGATTCTAAATCTTCAAAAACGATAATACACATATTCTTGCTAAGTCAACCTGAAGTCTTCTTCCCCTTAGTAATACAAAAGATCGAAGAGATGAATTGCTACGCACAAAGAAAACAATATTTATAAAGAACTTACAGAGCGTTATAGAAAAAATGAAGCATGAAAGCGCTGGATTAAAATTTGAATATATTGTATATGTGATATCATACTGTTGTTTGATTTTTTTTGGTTACAGTTAAAATATATCCGATATTTAATGCCTTAGATTTTTCGATCTGTGCATCATTATTAAAAAGTGTTTGATTATATTCAGGAAATAAAGAACGGAAAACTCTTTTCTTGTTAGAAGCCCCAAAGCTTGAACACGTGCTACAAAACAACATGTGCCTGTGAGTTATGTTTTGTATCAACATTTTTCTAAATCTAATGGAATTTCTATTTTCATTTTTACTTCTTTTCAGATGATCATTGTCGTATTGTTCTGTCAACATTATCGAGCTGATCAGACTACATGAACATTACCACCTATTCTAGGTAAAAAAGAAAATATTGAATTATAGCCTCTTCTTATAAACATTTGTCCGTTGAATATCGTTATCTTCGTCGTCGTTGTAAACTTAGCACAATTTCATCTTCTTTTTCATAACTACTGGGTAAAATTTCAATCAAATTTTGCACACAGTATCCTTTGGTGAAGGGGATTAATGTTTGTTCAAATGAAAAGCCATCATGATGGTAATGCAAAAGGAAATTTCACCGCCTCCTACCAGGGTTGATTTTCGATACTTGCGAACAAACTAAATGCCGAAATCAGAACTTACTAATAGCACAATGTCTATGGCACTCACCAAAATCGATGGAAAGAAAATATCACTCCATTTTTCGTAACAGACCATGCAAGATTTTAAAATGCACGATATGGAGAAAAATCTCGACAGTCTAATAAAATGTTTTCAACAGATTGTATATTCTAAAAATGAACCATAAAAACGACATTGATAAGTACTAAATGTATTGTACTATAATTGATAAATTGTGACTTTGAAATTTAATTTCGTTCGTGAGCATCTAAAATCAACTCGAGAATGCCGCCTCCGGTTGGAGGCAGCGATTTTCCAGTTTTCGTAATGGCGCCGGTTCTGACGTTTTCCTGGCAAGTAAAAATCAAAATCGTAGAAAAAGCCTCGAAAACATCAGATATTTTGTGTAGGAAAATGATATTTAAATTTCATACGTTTTATCAATTTATTTATTTGTCAGAAATTATCACTGTTGTTCACAAACTTTACGAACAACCCTTGTAGGCATCCTTAGTTAGTATAGATTCAATTTTGTTCGAATCATCCCATATTTATACTGTTTAGGGGTAGTTTGGAGGCACTTATGCATGACATACTCCTTAATCGGTATATTATTAGTAAAGCAAGCGAAATAAAGATATTAAGGTAGGACCAAATAGATAGGTCAAATTTTTCCTGAAATTCAATTTTTATGAAACTTTGATATTTTGTTCTTGGATACAGAATCTCTCTTTATATAAGATATGAAAGAAATTCAACCGCACATGTTTTGCCCACATAGTCTGAAATATGGCTTTTCAGACCCCTGTAAGAAGTTTGTGAAATCCGACATTCGACTTGAGAACGAGCCTTATTTTAGAATTTTCTATTAATCTATTGCAAATTTGTGAAATACTCTTAATAAAGATAACCTTTTTGTTACTTTAAATCAGTAAGTCACATTGATACTGGAAAATCGGGGTAAAATATTAAGTAAAAAAGTACAAACATTGTGTCAGAAACTGAAAATTCACATGTAAATATTCGACAGTTTAAGTTTTCTTAAGAGAAAATGTATAATTCAATTTTTACAAAAAATCAACAGAATGATTCAAATGGATCCTAGAATAAAATGTGTAAAAATAAAGAAAATTGAACCGGTGGTTTCAGATATTTTGGTGAGTTAAAAAGAATTCAATGGCAAAAAAACTACAAGATTCAGTAGATGACGTCACAATATTTGACCTTTGACCTCTTGATATGACCTTGACCTTTGTAGTACATAAAGAATGAAGACTCCTTATATATATATGTGTCCAAATATCAGCCCTCTACTATTTATGGAACAAAAGTTGCACTGCATTTTATAACAGACTGTTACATGCTTGTTTATTGCACTTACATAGCGTAAACACATTCCAAAATGTAAGCTCCCAAATGACCAATATATAGGATTCTCTGATTATTTCACAAAATATAACGGAAATTTGCCAAAACTTATTATTTTTCTTTCAGAGATCATTCATTGTTGTCAGTATAGTAATATTACTCTTTTTTCCTCCAGTACTTTTTTAAGAAATGGGTTAAAATAGAATCCACGGGTGTTTTGTCCTACCTTAATTGAACTATTATTCATGTGTCTCCTTGAGATAAAAAAAAGCAAAGTGGTGATGATTTTCCGATAAAAAAAAATAGTCTCTTTCTCTCTCTCTCTCTCTCTCTCTCTCTCTCTCTCTCTCTCTCTCTCTCTCTCTCTCTCTTTGAGGAGGTCTGTAGAACAGCCGAATTGGCTATAAAAAGGATATTTGCAGCTGTTTCAGGAAACACACACTGCATGTTTTGACTGTGTAAGACGATACATTGATATGACATTAATAAGTATAAAATTCTATAGTGAATATTTATTTGAACTTTATAGGTTTTACATGTGTGTATAATCTCATAATTTTTTATGGCGTTCGTGATTTAAGCTCCCCGGAATTACTCTGATCTCAGCAACAAGTGTGGTAGAACTGAGAATAATAACCATCGAATTCATTTAATTTGACGATAAATGTTGAGCAATAAAGGACATCCTAGTGCATAAACAGACTCTTCATCGCAATGACGGATCCACGGTGGTGTATTTGATTATTTTTTTTTTAATTATTATTTCAATTAAGAAATAGAGAAAAGATCATATTAAAGAAATCTATATTCAAGGTATCATATATGAAAGTTGTGCATAATTTGGGAATGTAGGGCGGGCCAAAGAAGTGAATCACTGTTTTACTCCGCCTCCTTAGAGAAGCCTATAAAATACCCTCAAATATTAAAATAGCCATATGTATCTCATTTGACTAAAGCACTGGAGACTTGTCTAATATACTACATGTACACAATTATGATCGATCTAAGAATTATCTTTCTGATATCTAGAATTATCTTTTCGTTTGGTTATGGTATGTGCTTGGGATATTACACAAAATGATCAGTCGGTAAAAGATTTTATATAATCTCAATTTTAATTTTATTTATAGATAATCTTTCTGAAAACAAATCTGCGACACAAAGATCAACAGTTAAATGCAACGGATGCCAAGATGGATCATACATTGCAGGACAAGCTGTAGACACCAGTTCAAAAACTTGTACTAGGACAGTACTAGTGGAATTATCAGACCCATTTAAGACTCAGTGGTGGATGGTCGATCTTCAAGAGATAAAATCCATATATGCCATAAGATTTTCTTTTCGAGACTACGATGGCCACCGTAAGTTTTTATGTTACCCCAATTATCTGTTATAATGGCTTGGTGTTACTTTGTGCATTCTTGCTCCTATGGAACTTTCTCTCATGAATGTTTTGGTTTTTTTTAAAGATATACGACAACAACAACGTTTATCGGGATACACCATTTTTGTATCAAATTCTCCCGAAATAAAGAGTGGAGAATTGTGCTTCCAACATAATGAAACAAATTTACCATCATTGACAGCACAACATGTATGTGTTTCGTTTGGACAATATGTCCAGTTTATAAATGAAAGGATAACTTATATTGAATTGTGCAGTTTGGTTGTTTTAGGTAAGTTTGGTTGTTTTAGGTAAGTTACTTTGTTCATTTTAAACTTCTGTCTACAATACATAAATACAATGCAGTTCAATTGTTTTTATAGAAATCTTTCCGGAACATTTCTGTATTTTCTACTCCGACTACCTCGAGTCTTTCTTTTTTATGAAAGTTGTTCAAGTTCAAATTTTAATTTTATCAGCATTTTATTTCATTCAAAATAGGTATTTGCTTAATTATTATTGAAAATGAAATATTAATAAATAAATGAAAAAAATATATTTCATTTCCTTTCGATGTTTATGCATAGCCATTGGAAAAAATAATGAGAAACGGATATTCAACAAAAACAAAACATATTTAATTAATGAAAATCAATTATTTCTTTTACCTTTACCATTTTAACATGTTTTTAGCCACTAATTTCAAATATTTGATTATAAAAAAGAATACGAGTGTTGATCTAAAAGTTCGTGGAATTTCCTCTTATTTCATTTAATTATATATAAGTGAAAGTGGTTGAAAATTACAAATAAGAATATAGACACTTGTCGAATTCTCTTTAAATAAACGAAACATTTTAAATATTTATGATAGTACTGTATGGCAGTTGCCATAGAAAGGGAAGCTTGGAAATGCGGGGAATGAATTTACCCGTTCATATTCAATTTCATTTCTTAATACGTAAAATGAGAATAAAACTGCGCTATCTGGCTTAAAAAAAGAAAATTATGTCATTATTACGATTTGTTGACCTCTTATAAACCTTTGTGTGAGAGTTTTACTGATTTACTGGATATTTAGTTTATTAGTTGATGATTTATTGTTCATCTTTAAATTGTTAAAAAAAAAACCTCAAATTTCAATCAAGTTATAAGATTTGTGAAAATCTCTGCAACAATTTGGTTTAAACGCGTATTCTACTGATACAGGCTGGAGAAAAATTCATTAAGCAGCTGGTTTTCCAGTGACGTTAAAAATTTAGGAAAAATAAACTTCTATTGAGGTTGATTACAGGTGTAAACGCTTTTTTGGAGAGCCTGTTCATCCTCGTAGACAAACAAAGCGTTAACGGACATTGACCACTGAAGTACTTTGCTTGACATTGCAACTAAAATTAAATATTCAAATGGAAAGATGGGGAGTATTTTTGTTTGAAATATGATTGAAAAATTAGGATAAGTCCATGCTACAGGATACCCAGGCTTTTCTTGAGAAAAAATGGAAAAAGAAGTAGCATTCAGTAGAATTATTTAGTCGAATTGGACAAATGGGTGAGATGCTCTTATAATGTGACGTTACATATTTAACGACGTTACGTCGAAGTCTCTCCCAGATTTTACAAATATCCATGTTCAGCTCGTGTGACCTTATTGGTAATTGGAATGTGGTGAATTTTCCAGCATTGTTGCATTATGAATCTATATTCAAAATATGCCTATTGTTTGCTTTCATCAAATCACGATAACACTTTAGACAGAGATTCTACGAACTTTATAATAAAAATAGTATTTTCATGTAGCTTTTTGCTATCATTTTCAGACTTTCATAACAATGAAATTTTTATGAAATCTTCACAAATTTGTTTTAGTTTAAGATTCCACTAATACGAGGGGTGATCAAAAAGTTCGCGAACTATCTCTATATTTTCCAAACCACAATTCAGATCAGATTTGACAGACATAAAGTCATACAAATGTTCTATAAATAGCATATGTAATGGAACGTTTTTTTCCCGTATTTGTGACGTCACAATGTGAAAATGACGTCATAATGTCATAATGTAGATCACTTGTGACAAAAAATGGTTGACTCAGTCGTATACGAGAAGCGAACAGCTGTAAAGTTAATCGTATTTCTTGGAAATTCCTTTTTATAAGTTTATAATAATTTGTAAACGGTTTATGAAGATAAAAGACTTGCTAGAAGTTTTGTCATAAATTGGATTGATTGTTAGAGTGAAGGAAGGGAGATGTTTAAAAATGATGGTTGTTCTGTTGCCCAGTGAAAGCAAATTTGGAGAGAGACCTATCCTTTGTTAAGCAATTTGATATAAAAGATCGCCAACTTACAGATAGAAAAAAAGATGAATATCTTTACTATAATATAATTATCAAATCCCTAAAATATCATTTACTTTAGACTTAAAACATATCAGATATGATAAAGTGAAGGCACCCATACTTTATTCACATGAAATAAACGACGCTCAAAAGACAGAGGGCTTTGGTTTTTATGGTCAAAATGCTCATTCTGTAAAAAGATATCATTATCCACCTATATCTTTCAGAGATTAGGTCATTTCTGACAATTAAACTGTTTTTGTTGGAAACAATAACTTGCATGGTTAGAAATATAAGAGTCGGAAAAAATTTTAAGCTTCTGTGAAATGAACGCTTAAGAGCATGTCACATGACTGCATATATCACGTGATCCGCGCTTGGGCAGATTGGTTGTAGATGCGCATTAAAATCAGAGAGGACTATTTTGAAACATTTTCAACACTGAACCTCTATATCATTTCTTTTTTGGAAGTATTTATGAGTTCATGAACTTTTTGATCACCCCTCGTATATTAATAAATTCATTGATTGTAGTTTTATGTTCAGTTCAAAATATTTCAGTCGTATAGAGACGTCACTATGTACATGTGGAGGGCTCAAAATATAAACATCTATTCGGCCAACACGGTCTTTGAGAACTAAGGTTCTTTATCGCCTGTCGTAACACATTTTCAATGTCTTTGTCCGAGATAAAATTACAAAAAGTAAATGTACTTAATTTCCTTATCAATGCATTGGTTCATCGATAGGCGCGGTTAAAAAAAATCCGTGTGGGGCGGGACAAATAGAGACAGAAGCGGGGCTTGCAGCAAGTAGATTGTGGGGATTAAGAAAATGTAAATTTAACTGTCATATTTTTTTTTATTTTACGACGATGATCAATTGATCGGGCTTGCGTGATAATTTTATGTATAGACGCCTTCGGCGTTTTATGCAAATTATCACGCAAGCCAGTTGATTGATCACATTATGAAATCAAAATATTAGACATTCCTTAAAGGGTTAATCCGAAAGACTATTAAATTTCACTTCAGAATATCGAGCACTTGGCGAAGGAAAAGTTCCTTTCTTTTCCTTAAAAACTTATGTCAGCTGTGGTGGGATGTGGGACATCTGGAAAATTAATTTAATTTTGATAAACAGGACCATACTTTCAACATAAATAGCTTATTTACAATTCTAAACTTTAAATGACTAAAGATGCTTTCTTTCCAAACTTTTCTTTTTGGCAGTTCTTAACCATGTCAAGAGAACCTCAATACTGTCAGAGACTCTCTAGTATGATTTAAGAATACAAAACCAGAACTTCTCTTAATCAGGCTTGACTGGAATATGACCCCGAACTTCATAAACAATATTCTTACATATTTATATAGTATTGTGAATGTCATCTTTTGCTTTAGACAGCAGCAAATTTAAAGTTATTGTATAATTACAAAAGGAGTAACAAAAATCTAACCAGAAGTTGTTTGAGTTCATGTGATAAGAAAGAAATTTTTTGATCAGATTTTTGCATCATGAATTATTAAAATAATTATTTATAACACAGGTTGTAACAGAGGTTTCTATGGTGTTGATTGTAGTCATCCGTGTCCTGAACATTGTAAGAGTAATCAATGTTTCGTCACTAATGGTATATGCCCTGCATGCGCCAATGGTTACACTGGTTCTGACTGTAACCAAGGTAAGAAATATTCGTTTTATAAACAATCAAATTAGTTTTATCAAACTTTTACTGTATACATGTATTTCAATTCAAAATCACTAGTGTAATAATACATTCTATATACGAGACCTCAAGTTTTGCTGAAATGACTACTGGTCTTGTAGAGTGTGCTTTCCCTTCTAAAGCCCCCTGGCAAACTGACTCTAGAGTAGGATTTATTCCGGAAAAGGAGACTCTCAGCTATAGGATTTCCCCCACAGATAGATAACTCTAGGCGAGGATGTTTTCTGTGGACATCCCACACCAGATTCATATACTAGGGCGATATTCTGCTTTGTGTAGAAGTTATAGAATGTGATTTACCTAAAAGCCAATATCCCCCTGATAAAATTGAACTTAATAAATGAGGTGACATAGACTCATGCGTCCTCTCTACCCAAATTGAGACAAAATGGATTGAAACATACGAAACGGACAATGAAGAATGATAATTTTAAATTTCATTATTTTCAACATTTTTATACCCAAAGGGTATATTAAAATTTTAGTAGTTTCATCTGGTCATCTGGTTTCCTAACAATGTTATCGGTCGGACAAGTTTAACTGTTTTCATGGAAACAATAATGAATTTTGTAAATCTTCAAGGTAGGATTCCTTTCATATTTCATATTTCTTGTATATAAAAATTAATAGTGAGTATAGTATATAAAAATTAAAGTGATGGTATCATTGATATTAAATTTGACCGTTTTATATTAGAGTCAAGGTCAGAGCAAGGTCATTACCTTTTTCCTAAATATTCAAAATTTAAAAAAAATACCGTTGCCAATCATGCAATCCTACTTGTATTTCACATGATTGGATGGTTTTTCTTTTTTTTTTTTTGCATAAAACATATGAGGATAACAAAAATAGAATATAAAAGTCCATAAATCAATATAAAGTAGAAAGAGATCAACACGGACTTAAAAAACATAAGAGGTGGGATCAGGTGCCATATAGGAGTGAACATCCCCTGCCCAATGGTCACACCGACGTGTGCTCCTTGTCATGACGAAAAAATCCGTCGTCAATACATAATATCGCGAGTACCTCGCAGTTATCTAACTTAGTACCGCTCTTTTTCGGGAGAGTCGAGAAAGCTCTAGATTTTGGGGACACATGACATTGTTTACACTGAGTAGTAACAATCAGATGATTTGATCGATTTAATGCCGAAAGTACAATGTATTACCAAGAATTGGACTCAAAATAGTAGATGGTCAACTAAGAAAAGTTTAGAATATTTTATCAGCTTTGAAATGTGACGATTTTCAATGAAAATTTAATGAGAAAAGTCCGCTTAGTTAAAAATACCGTTAAATATATAACATTATCGGATTAGCTCGTCTCAAAAATTAATTAGGCTGGTTCAGCTAGCATTTTTTAAGAAAGGTATTCCACCAGGATTTTTTTACTTATAAATCCTTATAAACTCTACAATGACTGATCTTCCATTGTATTCAATAGCACATTTGTCCCCACCCAACAGACGTTTCCTACCTCCATCGCAAAAGAGTTCTGCTAGTTGAGTATTCGCGATATCAAGTATTCAGTGTATAATAATGGACTAACAATTATCGTATAAGCAGAATTTTTAGCAAGGGTTTAATTTTGGCATTATAAGCGAGGGAACCAAGATCGCTAAAATTGAATATCGCTAAAAATTAATTGCGCGCTTTATTTGTAATAGCTTTTTAGTGAGCTCTTTAAAATCGCTAAAATTTCACATTGCTTAAAATAAAACACCATTTTTAAAGAAAAAATCGCTAAATTTTCGTCTTGCCAAAATTTCCACTTATACGGTAGTATAAAAACGTCAGTCAGCTTTTGACTCAATGACAAATTATATTTGCTGACAAGATACTATCATAGAGCCTATGATATGATATTACCAAATTGACGTTAAAAGGGGTATATTGGCTAATCCGAATGTTCCCTACTTTTCCTAATTTTTTAGGATATTTATTCTTATTTGCACATATGGTAAGTTGTCAAAAGATACATCATGAGTCTGAAACAAAACGTTTTGATCGTTTACTACTTTTTTACGGATTTTTTTCAAATATGTAAATAGATTGGAAGTTTTTAAAAGTTACATAGTTCTAGTATGTTTGAAAATTTATTTTTACTTAAAAGTGATATATACTGAGCTAAATTAGTTTAGCAATTCTTTTTCCATAGGTATTATATTTTGAAACCTTTGTCCCTTATTATCAATTTTACTTACGTTTAAAAATTTCTTCAAGTCTTTGATTGTGAAAAAATTAAAATTAAATTCATTCTCGTTTAATAATTTTGAGAGGCAGACAAGAAGATATTTTCATACGCCACCATTCCGCAAAAAATATAGATCCTACTAGTTTTCTCGTGCAGTTTACCATTTCTATTTAAGGTTGAACTATAGTGATGAGGAAGGGGAAATATGGTCTTTTGAATCTCTTATACCTGAATGAATAAGATCAATCAACATACTTTGAAAATTTCATTTAGTTTTAAATGGACTTTTGAGCTTGAATGCTATTCGTTATCTCCATACATTTTAATGAAAAACTATTTACTACTCCATTCGAATACTCTCAAAATGGAAAATCTATGTATGATTTATCAATAACACGAGTTTAGGAAATTTTCACTCACTCCTTGTCAACATGATGGATCCATAGATAAAATGTTAATAGAAACATCGGTGTCAAAAATACCTCCATGTGCATTCAATGATACTCTTTGATACAATTTATCAAATATTTCTACACCCATTCATGATATAGCATGTTCCAGTGGAATGTTTGGTCCTGATTGTTCTTTATTCTGCTCTGGGCATTGTAAAAACAACTCCACCTGCAATCCTACTAATGGTGTTTGCTCTAATGGCTGTATTGACGGATGGATGGATATGTTTTGCAATAAAAGTAAGTTTTTACAAAGTTTTATAAAATCAACAAAATCTAATTTCCAGTTTCCATGTGCCTTACATATATGATGTGTATTATAGTCCATATGTAATTTAAGTTAATAAATGAATTGGAAGAAACCTACAATTTAGTCACATTTAATTTTTCATTTATAGGCTGTGTAGCTGGAAGATTTGGTCCTGACTGTAAAAACGACTGCAGTGGAAATTGCCTGAACGATGTAATCTGCGATAGCAAAACTGGGAAATGTGACAATGGATGCAAACCTGGATACAAGGGAGACCTTTGCAATAATGGTAACTTAAATTTTTAAAAAAAAATTAAGTATCAGTCTGAACAGATTACTTTTAACGTACGAGTATTTTGCAGCTTTATATGACTGTGACATTCAACCTCTACAGGTCCTAATATCGATAATAATTTCTTTATTAGAATTATCCAATTTTTAATGAAAAAGTACATGTGGTTCCTGGAAGCAACAAGTTTAAAAGTTGTTTCCCAGAATTACAAATCATTATATAATTATTTATTATAAATTATTACATGTAGTTTAGTGTAACATTAAAAATAATTCCTTAAAAAACCATCGTCGACCAAGGCGCAGTCCAAATGGACATTGATTTTTCGAGTCGGGACT